ACACCTGGGGACACCTGGGGACACCAAAAACACACCTGGGCACACCTGGGGACACCTGGGGACGTGGGGGAGGTTGGCTGTTCCTGAGCTGGGTCAGGCATGGAGAGCTGGGAGCGGGGAACCACACCGAAGGTGGGCTCAGAGAGTGAGGTGGTGACACCTTGGGGACACTGGGGGTGTTGGGGACACCTCGGGGACATTTGGAGTCTTTGGGACATTGGGGACACACAGGGGTTGGGTGTCAGGGTCCCTCTGTGACCCAGCTCGGTCAGCCTAGGGTGGGGACCCGGAGGGGGACATGGAGCGGGGTGGCCGTGGTGGCTGCAGTGACCCTGGTGGCCGTGGTGGCCCCGGTGACCCTGTCGCTGTCCTCCAGGTGGACAAGGGCGTGGTGCCCCTGGCTGGCACCAATGGCGAGACCACGACCCAGGGTGAGTGACAGCCGTGGTGTTCCCAGTGCCGCTGCTGCGTCCCTGTCCCCATCCCAGCCGTGGCCCGGTGTCCCCGGTGTCCCCAACCCGCCGTGTCCCCAGGGCTGGACGGGCTGATGGAGCGCTGTGCCCAGTACAAGAAGGACGGCGCGGACTTTGCCAAGTGGCGCTGCGTGCTGAAGATCACGGCGCACACCCCGACACGCCTGGCCGTCATGGAGAACGCCAACGTCCTGGCACGCTACGCCAGCATCTGCCAGCAGGTCCCCCAGTGTCCCCCACTGTCCCCAGGGGGTCCCCAGGGCAGGGGGAGGAGGTGACACCAAGAGGTGGCACCTGGGAGGGGTTTGGTGGCACCTCAGTGGCCTTGGGCCCCCTCCTGCTGTCCCTGCTTCTCCCTCTGTCCTCTCTCTCTTTCCTCAGGCTGTCCCCTGTCCCCTCTCCGTGTCCCCAGCGTGTCCCTGACGTGTCTCTTGTGTCCCCAGAATGGCATCGTCCCTATTGTGGAGCCCGAGATCCTCCCGGATGGTGACCACGACCTCAAGACGTGCCAGTATGTCACTGAGAAGGTGGGTGGCACCTCCGGGCTGTCCCCAAGCGTCCCCAGTTGTCCCCAGGATGTCCTGCAGCCCTTGGGGGTCCCTGGCTCACTGGTGACACCGAGAGGTGGCAGCTGGACAGGGTTGGTGGCACCTGGGAGGGTTTTGGTGGCACCTGGGTGGGCTTGGGGCAGCTCCTGGTGTCCCCAGCTTGTCCCAGTTGCACCTGGGAGGGGTTTGGTGACCTCTGGTGTGTCCTCAGCACTGTCCCCAACGTCCCTGCCATGTCCCCAGAGCTGTCCCCTGAGTGTCTCTGGCAATTCCTGATGTCCCCAGGTGTCCCCAATGCCCCCGGGGCTGTCCCCAGGTGCTGGTGGCTGTGTCCAAGGCCCTGAGTGACTGGCAAATGTCCCTGCAGTGTCCCCCAGTGTCCCCAGTGTCCCTGCAGTGTCCCTGCAGTGTCCCCAGTGTCCCTGCAATGTCCCCAGTGTCCCCCAGTGTCCCCAGTGTCCCTGCAGTGTCCCCAGTGTCCCCAGTGTCCCCAGTGTCTCCCAGTGTCCCCAGTGTCCCTGCAGTGTCCCCGCTGTCCCCAGTGTCCCTGCAGTGTCCCCAGTGTCCCCAGTGTCCCCGCTGTCCCCAGTGTCCCCGCTGTCCCCGCTGTCCCCAGTGTCCCCAGTGTCCCCGCTGTCCCCAGTGTCCCCAGTGTCCCCAGTGTCCCC